CCTCTCCAAACAGGAGCTGGGCTTAAGAATTCAGGACAGGAGCTGGAGAGGTGGCTCAGCAGTTAGGAGTAGTGGTTGCTCTTCCAGAGGCTCCCACCACCCACATAGTAGCTCACTACTGTCTACAGCTCTAATTCCAGGGAATCAGACATCTCTTCTGGTCTCAAGGCACCGGGCACACAGGCAGTGCACAGATATATACACCTGCAAATCACCTATACACATCAAATTAAATTAAACTAAAATTACAATGAAAAGAACCTAGTACCAAACCCAGGAGTGTTAGCAATACTAGCACTCAGGAGGCTGAGGGAGAAAGATTGCTGAGTTTCAAGGCAGGCTGAATTACAATGAGACCATCTAAAAAAAACAAAACTCTTGCAACTAAAGCCAGGCTTGATGGTGCACGTCTGTAATCCCAGCCCTTGGGGGCCTGGGCATACCGAATTCGGGTCTCAACAAGACAACAATAAGAACAGCAAACCCAGAACCAGTTTTTCTTTTCTTTTTTTTTTTCTCCTTTCCTCTTTCTCCCCTCCCCTCCCCTCCCCTCCTCTCCCCTCCCTTCTCCTCTCTTCTCTTTTCTTTCTCTTCTTTCCGTGAGTCTCTTCAGCTTGCAATCCTGGAGGGGTCAGTAGCAAGCAAAAGGTGTCGCCGTAGGATGTGGCCGGTGACCTGGCTTCTGAGTTTACCAATTCTCGGTGTTGGAAGAAAACACTGGATCACACAATTGCCCTTTCATGAACTTCTTTTCTAGCAGTCTTCATTGAATTTAGGACTGGAAACTGACGTCTCCTAAACTCTCTCTGATTCCTTCTCCTAGGATTGGAGACTGGAGACAGACATACAGAGTCAGGCTCTGGGGGAGACGGGAGGCAGGGAAGGGCATTAGGCCCGGCACGCCCCTTCAGCAGCCAGCGCAGCTGGCAGCACCCGCCGAGCAATTGTCATGTTAATTACTGGCCAGCGTCGGGCCTGGCGAGCCAGCTCAGCACCCGTGACTCACCCTTTTCCAGCAGAGGGCCTCGGAGGAGTCCTATAGGAGGCCTTGCTGGGAGTGTTACAGCCTGTGCAAATGTGTACCCCGAAGTGGACTCACCAAACCTTGTGTGGGAGTTTCCTAGTCTCCGTCCTGCACAATGCTCTCTACCCAGAGAAGAAGGGTCCGGGGCTCATCACTGTCTAGAGGGCAGGGGAGAGAGGAAGGGGGTGGGTAGGAACAGGGCCTGAGTCAATCAGCTGAGCTGGGCAGGGTGGCACCCTGACTGGGTGGGGAGGGGAGTGGCTGGAAAGATAACCAAAGGCGTTGGAAAAATCCTTCAGATAATGGACTGACTTCTTTACCCCCCCCCCCGCCCTCCACGCCCCCTCCCCCAATCTGCGGGCTGCTACCAATTTGCCAAAAATCCCAGAGCCATCCTGCTCTCTCTTTTTTTAATTAATTTATTTATTTATTATGTATACAATATTCTGTCTGTGTGTATGCCTGCAGGCCAGAAGAGGGCACCAGACCCCATTACAGATGGTTGTGAGCCAACATGTGGTTGCTAGGAATTGAACTCAGGACCTTTTGTAGAGCAGGCAATGCTCTTAACCACTGAGCCATCTCTCCAGCCCCCTTTCCTGCTCTCTTCATTCATTCGTTTTTAGCTTTGTTGTGGTGTGTGTGTATAAAAGGGAATTACTACTTTATCTGTTCTTTTTTTTAAGGATTGTGGATACCTGACTATCTTAGTTTCTGAGTAATTGCAGAGATATCTGCAACACTTTAAATTGTTTTCATTTTTAATTGAAAAAATTTTTTCGATATTTTAATGTTTTTCTTCTCTGTCATTTCCTTCCAGATCCTCCCTGCCCACCCAACTTTATGTCCTTTTTCTCTTTCGCTTTTTAAAAAGAGAAGAAACAAACAAAACTCAACAAAAACACAAAAAAATCAAAATCAACAAAAGGTCAATAAAACAAAACGAAACCAAAATTTAAAATGTCCACGAAAATACAACTGAGTTTGTTTTTTGTTGGCCAACTGCTCCTGCGAATAGGTCCTGCCCTGAGGTGTGGTTGATATACCCATAAGACTAAACTGGAGAAAACTGATTTTCCTTTTGCCAGCTGGTAACCGTTGTCTGTAGCTTCTTCGTTAGGGGTGGGACTCGATGCTCAGTTCTTCTTCTCAGGGCTGGGGCGCTGTCTGGCTGGAACTCATGCAGGTCTTGTGTGTGTTACCATACAAAGTCTTGTGAGTTCTTTTGAGCATTGGTCCTGGTGTGTCTGGAAGACACTGCTCCCTTGGAGTCAGCTCTGGCTCTTACTGTCTCTTTCCACTCCTCCCAGTCCTTCCCCCCACTTCCCCTCTCCCCCAGATCAACTCCTCCTCTGGAGAGNGAGAGAGAGAGAGAGAGAGAGAGAGAGAGAGAGAGAGAGAGAGAGAGAGAGAGAGAGAGAAGCATCCACCAAGCATGGCCTAACAAAGTACATTAAGACTGGGCACAAACCCTCCTATCGTGACTGGATGAGGCAATCCAGTAGGAGGAAAAGGGTCCAAAAGGCAGGCAAAAGAGTCAGAGACACCCCAACTCCCACTGTTGGGAGTCCCCCAAGAACACTAAGCTACATGACCATAAACTGTATGCCAAGGACCTAGCTCAGACCCAGACAGGGTCTGTGTTTGTTTCTTCAGTTTCTGGGAACCCCTATGAGCCCTGCTTAGTAGAATCTGTGGGCTATGTTCTTGTGATGTCCTTGTCTCACCTAGTTCCTAAGTAGATCCTGCTTTCTAATTAAATCTGTTAGTCTGTGTCTTTTTATTGGGGAGCTGAGGCTGTTAATATTGAGAATCATCATGAGCAGTGTTTATTGATTCCTGTTATTTTGTTGTTATGATGTGGGTTTCCTGTGCTTTGATTTACTATTCTAGGATTATTTATTCCTTGTGTCTTCTTGGGTGTGGTTTCCCTCTTCAGACTGATGAATTCCTTCTAGTTCCTTCTATGGAGCTGGATTGGTAGATAGAAATTGTTTACATTTGGTTTTATTGCAGACTGTTTTTCTTTATTCTTTGATTGTAATTGATAGTTTTGATGGTTTTAGTGGTCTTGGCTCCATCTGTGGTCTCTCAGAGTCTATAGAATATCTGTCTAGGCCCTTCTGGCTTTTAGTATCTCAACTGAGAACTCAAGTATTATATGTATCTACATTGCTTGGTGTAGCACAATTAACAAAAACCCAGAGACAGAAATTGGGGTTCAGCCTGAAGGTTAAAAAAGTTAAACAGCCAGCCACTAGCTCTTATCTCTACCTTAGTCCGAAATGATGATCCTGCCCCCAGGAATCTCAGAATGAGACTGGGAGTGAGGGCTGTCTCCTCCTGTCTTATAGTCCTCTCTAGTGCTGGGATTAAAGGCATGCACCACCACCTGGTTTCTACAGCAAACTAGTGTGGCTACTGGGATTAAAGGTGTGTGTCACTACTGCCTGGTCTGTAAAACTGATCAGGCAAGCTTCACTTATTAAAATACAAATGAAATGTCACTACATCTTGGTACTTTCCCTTGCAGCTTTTAATATCTTTTTGTTGTTGTTGTTGTTGTTGTTGTTGTTGTTGTTGTGTATGTTTAGTGTTTGATGATGATGTGTTGTGGGAAATTCCTTTTCTGGTCCAGTCTATTTGGTATTCCATAAGGTTCTTGTTCTTTGGTAGGCATCTTCTTTGGGTTGGGTAATTTCTTTTCTATAATTTTGTAAGAAATATTTTCTGTGCTTTTGACCTGGGTTTCTTCTTCTTCTTCTCTCCCTATTATTTGTAAGTTTTGTCTTTTCATAGTCTCCCATATGTCCTGGATATTTTATGCCTGGATTTTTTTTTTTTTTTTTTTAGATTTAACATTTTCTTTCTTTAAGACCTGCAATTTTCTCTCCCATTTCTTGTAACTTGTTGGTGATGCTTAGCTCGAAGATTCTTGGCACCCTAAGTTTTTTATTTCCAGTTTTATTTCAGTTTGGGTTTTCTTGAGTGATTTTATTTCTATTTTCATGTCTGGAATTATTTTATTTCATTCAACTGTTTGAATTTTCATGGTCTTCATTGGGCATTTGTTCATATTTTTCTTTAAGGTCCTTGAACATATAAATAATTGTTTGAAGTCCTCATTGTGTACTTAAATTAACCTGTTTTTCTTAGGGCCTATTGCATTAGGATTACTGGCTTCTGGAGGGGGCATATTGTCTTGGCTGTTCATGTTGGTGGTTTTGCATTGGGATTTAGGCATCTGGAGTTAGGATAATTGAGATGTTTCCTGGTGTAGGTAGATATCTGGCCTTGCCTTGTTGGGCTGATTCTCCCTTCTTTGGTCTGGGTTCTAGGCGGCTGAAAGGTCTAGTAGAGAGAGCTTCTGTGGGCTGCCATGAGACACAAAGGAGTGGAAATGGCCCGGGAGAAAATACTGAGAAGCTCGGCAAGAAAACGCTAGGAGGACGGGGGCCACAGCAACAGGTGGCGTCCCCAGGAAGTGGGGGTACACGGGAGGGAAGGATCCTGAAGGCAGGTTGTTGGAGGATGAAGAGTCAGCAAAGACATTGGAATAAAGGATAGGAAGGCAGTGAGGATCCCTAACTTGAGTCCCGGCCAGTGTGGCCTCTGGGGGTCCCTGCTGACCAGCAGCTGACACAGAGGAATGGAGATTGGGTAGATGGAAGATTGAGAGGTCGGCAAAGGAGATACCTGGGTCCTCACCAGAGAATGGGGCTGGTGTTGGTTTTTCATGACAATCCTTGTGCCTTAGATTCCCAAATACTAGAATCATAGGCATGGGCCACTGTCCTAATTTGCTCACTGTGATAAAACACTGCCCAAATCAGCCTGGAGCGGCATGGGTTTATTCCAGCACAGTTCCAGGGTCACAGTCCGTCCCTGGGGAAGGCAGGAGCGGATGCAGAGGCCAAGGAGGGGTGCTGCTTGCTGGCTTGCTTTCCATGCGAGCTCAACCTGCTTTCTTATACAGCCAAGGCCCACCTGCCCAGAGATGGGGCCCTGAGCAATGGAGGCTGGGCCCTCAGACATCAATCAGCAAGCAAGAAAATGTCCCGCTGACGTGATCAGTCTGATGGAGGCAATTCTTAAGAGAGACTGCCTCGTCCCAGGTGAGTGTCCAGGTTTGGGTCAGGTCGACAAAACTGTGATAACCACTATGCCTAAGATTATCATTTTCTTGTTTCTCTAAATTCTAGAGCGTTTGAGTTTAAAAAACAAACTTCATTACAAATACTGGGTTCTGAGGCCTCATATTAAAGAAATCCCTAGAGCAGTGGTTCTCAACCTGTGGGTCACAACCCCTTTGGGGGGGGTTGAACGACCTTTTCCAGAGGGTTTGCCTAAGACCACTGGTAAAACACAGATGTTTACATTATGATTCATAACAGTAGCAAAATGGCAACTATGAAGTAGCAATGAAAGGAATTTATGGTTGTAAGTAAATATGGTTGTAATGTAAACCCGAGGACTTTCATTAAAGGGTCACAGCATTAGGAAGGTTGAGAACCGTATCCCAGAGCCTCCTTGATATGAACCGCCTATTCCCACCTTACTCTCCAATAAGGAAATGAATGGCACCCGGAGCCCAAATCCCCCCCCCCCTCGGACCAAAGTCAGGTGATCATGTGTCCTCTCCTTATCTGGCTCTGGTTTGAAGGAGAGGCAGTGTGGTGAAGGAGTAAAACCTCTGTTGTTAGGGAAGCATAAATCAAACTAACAGGGCTGGTTCAAGAGCCATAGGTAGAAAAGAGTGTTTCTGAGAGAAACTTCATCATCTACAGCATGCTCTTTCAGAGATACATGGTTCTAGTCCTGAAAGAGTCTGTTTTGTTTTATGTGTGTGTGTGTGTGCATGTGTGTGTGTGGTGTGATGCTTTGTGTGTATGTGATATCGTATGATGTGGTGTATATGTGGTGTGATGTGGTATTGTGGTGTGATGTGGTGTGTGTGTGTGTGTGGTGTGCTGTGATGTGGTGTGATGTGGTGTGTGTGGTGTGGTGTGTGTGTGGTTTGTGTGTGTGTGTGTGGTGTGTGTGTGTGTGTGTGGTGTGTGTGTGTGTGTGTAGGGCCAGGGACCTTCACAGTCCTCATGCTCATACATCAGACTGTCTACTTACTGAGTTATCTCTGTCCAGTTTTTTTTTGTTGCTTTGTTTTGAGAGATGGCCTCTAACTCTGCTCTCAAGTGCTGGGACCTCAGGTGTGCATCACACCTGGCTCTGGCAAGATCTTGATGTGCTGTTCAGGTTGGTCTCCAACTTTTGGGCTCAACTGATCCTCTGACTTCCGAGGAGGTGGGTCCACACGTGCAGATGTTTCAAACACTGGTTTTCAGCTCAGTCAATTGTAGATAATGGATAGATACATATTGAGCCACGCGTGCTAGTGTATGCCTGGAATTGCAGCACTTTCAAGATAAAGGCAGAAGGGTCAGAAGTTCAAGACCAGCCTGTCTGCATGCTGTATCAAACAAACAAAATAAACAACAACCACATACACACAAACTCTGTCTGTAGAGATTTGACCCTTACTCCTTTTACAGGGGCAGAGGTCATCACCTTTGTCTTCATTTGTGTTCAACTCTACTATCCTTTATTCCGTGTATATTGGGCTGCATTTTCCTTTGAGTGGTTGATAAGATCTCAAACCCTTTGAGAAGCAAATTCTTTGATACATGCTCTCTTTTTTTTTTTTTTTTTTTTTTTTTTGACAACCCCGGTGGCGCACACTTTTAATCTAACCTTTGGGAGGCAGAGGCAAGTGTAGCTTTGCGAGTCTGAGGCCAGCCTGGTCCACCGTGTGAATGAGTCACAGGCCAGCCGGTAAGATGGGGAGACTCAAACAAACCCTGGTTGCTTAGGAGACTTTGGGGAGTTGTTCAGGGGAAACGGATGTGGTTTGGAGTGGCTGTGACCTTTAAGAAAGAGAAGTGTGGCTGAGCCATAGGTTGCCTGCATGGGGCTACACACTCTTTCAACACTGGTTGGGTAGCTATCTCTTCGGTATCCCTTCTTTCCTGGTGTCCACTAGTCAATCTGAAATGTCTGATTGCAAACTGCTCCCATGTTCACACTGAGCTGTGAGTTAGTGTCCAGTAACTCAGTGCCTGTCTATACCACTGCTTAATGAAGGTTTCTGGTGCTAGAAAAACCATTTCTAAAGACTTTAGCCATGCTCGGTGAAAGCACAGGTTAGAATACTCCAGACCATAGTCACAAAGCTGTCACACTGCATGTACTCACTTGGGGCTCCCCAAAGTCATCTGACTCTCACTTTTCTGGAGTTGTCAAAAGCGTCTGACTTGGACCACCGATGTCACCTGTACTCCTTCCTGGCACTCCTGGGCAAATCATCTGGTTATCTAGGTGCCTGGTATGTGCCTTGACTTCCAGTAGGCAATTACTTATAGTCGTAAATATCGGCTCTCTCTTCCCACATGCTGATGCTGTAGCCAGAGGACTTGACTTTTGGCTTCAGCCCTGGGAGGCCCTTGTTGCTGGGAGTAGCTGTCTAGGCAGAGGTGATGAACAGCTGGGCCAGCTGGGAAGATTTGTGCAGTTGAACTGTGCAGGGGAAAAGAGGGGAATAAGAAGGGAAGGCCTGGGTCTTTTTCCTCTGCCACACATCCCCACGGAAGCTAGCTTTATACGCTCAAAGGCTAAGTAGGCATTGGCTAGACATTATCTGGGCCCCAGGAGGATATGCTGGGGTGCTTCCACTACGTTTCTCAGTGCTGGCCGTGGGTTACAGCCAACTGGGGACCTCACAAAGGGTGATGCCTAAGATTCTAGACCGTCAAAGTCTGCAGGCTCTGGCCCACACTCTGCTCCTTGTTTGGTTGCTAGCATTTGTTTAGAACATTTTGTTTCAGTCACGCGTGTTTATGTCGTGGGGTGGGAGGAACATGTGCACGGCATAGGTGTAGAAGTCAGAGGACGTCTTGCAGGAGCTAGTTACACCTTCTACCATGTGATTACGGGGGATTGAACTCAGGTCTTCGGGATTGGCAGGAAGTTCTTTTACCTGCTGAGCCATTTAGCCAGTTTTTGCTATACAGCCCAGGCTGGCCTGGAACTCGCCGTGGAACCTAGACAGCAGTGAAACCCAAAATCCTTCTGTTTCAGCATCCCAAGTGCAAGGATTATTGGAGTTCATCATGATTCCTAGCCCACCGGATTTGTTTTGTTTGCTCGCTTTCCTAAAGTCTCAGGCTGTAACCCTGCCTGGGTTGGCTCTTGCTATGTAGACCAGGATATCCTCAAACTTGTAGGGATCCTCCTGTCTCTGACTTTCACATAGGAGGTTACAGGAATTCGGTCAGCTATGCTTCAGTTAGACATAAGAGACAGCACAATGATTCGGCCAGTGTTTCCACCCAGTACCAACCATGCGATTCGCAATTCAGCAGGCCGAGGACACCCAGCCCCTTGAAAGCCCTCATCTGCGTTTTTATGGAAGGAAGAAAACATTTTCAAGTTCTCTGACGGTCTCTGTAAATTAGGTTGACAATAGACACAATGCCTAAACAGACAGCTTAAGGTCGAGGTTAGAGCAGGCTTGCAAGGCATCTTAAAAAAGTCACAATAACTGCAGACAAAGGGAAGGGATTTTAAGGCCCTAGAGTTGCAAACTGTGGGGAGACCAGTAGATGGATCCATCAGAGGGGGCAGGACTTGTGGGCAAGGGGTGTTCCATAATCCCCTTTCATCCCCCTAGGTTGTCTCTGGTGATTGCCTTCTGCCCTTTCTAGCAGAGAGAAGGTCACCTCCAAAAACCGTGCATCCTGCTTTTAGGTAGATAGCAGGAGGGCAGAACCTTGGTTGAATCTGCTTCTTCTTGAGGCCCTGAGTAGTGCTGGCTGTCCTGGAACTCAGAGATCCGCCTGCCTCTGGCTCCCGAGTGCTGGGATTAAGGGTGTGTGCCGCCATGCCTGGCTGTAGCTAAGTCGTACCCCACAGCACATCTTTCTGCTGTGTACTAAGGAAAGGACAGGTAGAGGGCAGGAGAATCATTGAAGTCTAAACTACACAGGAAGACTGAGTCTCAAACACATACACACACACACACACACACACACACACACACACGGACGGACGCACACATGTATTCATGCGACTCAGGGAAACCCTGTCTAGAAACGAAACAAAACAAACAAACAAACAAACAAAAAACAAGCAAACAAAAAACCAAGACACAGCTGCAGAGATGAACTGAAACTGTAACCGAACGTGTAGATGAGCCCCTCCCACTCCACCCCTGACCAGAGGTCAGATTCAGGACCTTGCAAATGCCAGGCAAGTGCTTTATCACTGAGCTGCATGCCAGCCCTCGGAGGGGTCTGGAGAAAAGGGGAGAAGCCAAGATCGCCAGGCTCCAGTTTCTAGAAGGAATTGTGGTGAAAATCACTTTTCAAGATCACAGGTCTTGCCCAGGTGACAGGTCACAGACACTTGCTGCCAAGCCCATGATCTGAGGTCAGGCTCTGGAATCGAAACGATGGCAGGCGAGAGCTAACTCCTGCAAGTGACTCTTCAGCCATTGAAAGTGGTCGGTATCGATCCTGGTGTTTGAGAAGGAAGCTGAGTGGCCATATCAGCACCACTTAGGTGGCCCAATAAAAAGGCCAGCAAGTACAGACCAGATTGTGCTCCCCCGTGACCAGCTCCTCCCATGGAGAGGCATGTACCATGCAAGCATGGGCTGCCACACATACATCATGACCACACACACACACAATTTTTCCCCCCAAAAGGCCAGAGAGATGGTTCAGTGGATCAAAGTCTTTGCCACCAAGCTTGACAGTCTGAAGAACTGGAGTTTAATTCCCAGGGCCCACATGCTGGGCAGAGAGAACCGACTCCCACAACTTGTCCTCTGACACACACACGCACACACATGCACACATATACACATGCACACACACATGGGCACACACAGACATACACATGTGTGTACACACAGAGACATAGATACACACATGTACGCACACAGACACACACACACAAAATAAGTGAACAAGCGTGGCCTATGATTACAGGCAGCACATGTCAGAGAACTTACATATTAGAGGTTCTGGTGGAGGTATGGGGCCGTCTTATGGTGGAAGGA